GTCCCTGCTGGCCACGCTATGGCTGACACAAGCCAGGATGCCATTGGCCTTCTTGGTCCCCTGGGCACACTGCTGGCTCCTGTTCAGCCGGCTGTCAATCAACACCCCCAGGTCCCTCTCTGACTGGCAGCTCTCCAGCCACTCCTCCCCAAGCCTAGAGCACTGCTGGGGGTTGTTGTGGCCCAAGGGCTGCCCCCGGCATTTGGCCTTATGGAAACTCCTCCAGTTGGCCTCAGCCCATGGCTCCAGCCTGTCCAGGTCTCTCTGCAGAGCCTCCCTACCCTCGAGCAGATCAACACTCCCACCCAACTTGGGGTCACTAGAGGCCTTACTAGATCCAATTCTAGTTGGGCTTTCCTAATTTCATCTCGATGTGCTTGAACAATGTTTCTGTATTTCTCCCAGTTACCCATCCTTGTTTCCATCCTTGGTATGCTTTCTTTTTGTGTTTGAGTTTGACCAGGAGCAACTTGTTCCTCTACACAGGCCTCCTGACATTTTTGCCTGACTTCCTATTCTCTGGGATGAACTGCTCTTGAGCTTGGAGAAGTTCCTCAAATATTAACCAGCATTCTTGGTCCCATCTTCCCTCCAGGGCTTTATCCCATAGGTCTCTTTCAAGCAGATCTTTGAAGAGTCCAAATTTCACTCTCCTGAAGTCCACGGTTTTGAGCCTGGTTTTTACACGCCTCCCCTCAGGATCCTGAGCTCCACTATCTCATGGTCACTGCAGCCAAGGCTGCATTTGAGCTTCACATTCCCAATGAGCCCCTTGTTGGTATGAGGTCCAGCAAAGCACCACTCTTCATTGGTCCTTGTTGGCCCCTTTCAGTGCACTCCAGGAACCTCCTGGATTGCTTATGCCCTGCTGTGTTGTCCCTCCAGCAAATATCTGGGTGGTTGAAGTCTCCTATGACGACCTGGGCTTGTGAATGTGAGGCTGCTCCTATCTGCCTACCTCATCTGCTTGTTCTTCCTGATCCGGCAGCCTAAAGAAGACACCCACTATAATATCACCTTTACCTATCCTCTCTCTAACCCTTCCCCATAAACTCTCATTTGGTTCCTCATCTATCCCCAGGCAGAGCTTCATGTACTCCAACTGCTCTTTCATATGGGCAACTTCCCCTCCTTGTTTTCCTAGCCTGTCCTTCCCAAAGAGCTGTTCTCCCTTTATTGTAATGCTCCAGTCATGGGTGCCATCCTGCCATGTCTCTGTGATCCCAACTAGATCATAGCCCTGCAACTGCACACAGACTAACTCATCACATTTATTCCCCATACTGCATGCATTAGTATACAGGCACTTCAGAGAAGCACCCCAGCATGTTGACTGCCTAGAAAGGGATTGGGAGATTTCTCCATCATGGTGCCTTGTAGACATTTCCTTGCTTATATGCAGATGCTGGAGGTGACCCCACTTAAGCCCCAACTTGTTGATTTTGTGTCCATTCCTGTCACATCACTCCACGCCCTTTGTTCTCCAACCATGTTGATGGCTCCCTCACAGGACTGCTGGTACTCTCTCCCTTCATTCTTAAAGTCCTCCTTACGCAATCAGCCATCCTGGCAAAAACAGCTTTGCCCTGCTTAGTGAGGTGGATCTCATCTCTCTCAAGCAGATGGTGATCTGCAAGCAGGGTCCCATGGTCATACAACTCAAAATCTTGTCACTGACACAAGTTCTGCAACCAATTATTGACTTGTCTTGTTTGTGCTCTTCTCTTTTTCCCTGACAGACATTGCTTGGGCCCCCATGCCCATGATTCTTGCTGTTTATCTGCTACTGCTCTCCTGTTTCAGCTTATAGTTACTTTGAGCCACCCAAAGTAAAAGTTGGGTGTGAATCATCTTAGTGCATTAGCCTTGAGTAAGCTGAATAGTGTACATGTCACCTTTGAGTTGCGTGTCTGTATAAAAGAGCTGCTTGCACACGAACAAAGCACTTCACTGGTGTGTGCTTATCAAATCCTGTATACACAGGAGAGAAAGAATCGAGGGTTTCATGTTAAATTTTGATGCTAGGGGAGCTTTGTGAATAAATAACTGTGAGAAATAATATATCGTGGTATTTAACATCAGCATTAACTTAAAGCAGTTATTTTTCTTGTAAACACAGAGTTACTATTACTATTTAGTTTTAAGCCTCCTTCCATGTATGAATGAAAAATAGCCTCATGATAGAAGATATACTGAGATGCTAGTTACATACTCATCAACAAATTTGTACAACTTAATCACTATTGTTGGACTGTATAAACAACACTGATTTGAGCAGTTTTATTTCATTATTAAAATAATGGAAACTTGACTACCACTTGGAAAATTAAAGTCATTGCTGCCTAAATTTTCATATTTTGTATTTATAACTTAAATTTGCTAACATAAAGTTGATAGCAGCCATTCTGTTTGTAGCTTGCATTTGTGCTTAATTACTTTTGATTCTTGAGAATAGATAATATGAGGTGCAATAGGAACAAGTTACTAGAACAGTAAGATGGCATTATTTTTCCAAACTCTGATACCCTATGAAAATTACACTCTCTTGACTATGAATTTTTCAGCAGTAATTGATGTAAATATTTACTCTTGTGATGACCCATCCAAACATCCTCCTTGTATTTAAACAATACAGCTAAGGAAAAAAAAATAGTAAGGGAATTGCCATCTAAAATTTGTGTATTTCAGCTAATTCCTGGGAAAGCACAGGCTTCTCTGTTTGGGTCAGCTTAGGAAAGTCCTTATACAGGGTCTGTTTCAGGGAGAAGAAAAAAGATGTAGCCCGTTGTACTTCCTGGCTGGTGAGCCTCCCACAAAGCACATTCACCTTCTAACTTCAGAGTAGGCAATTTTTTTTAAACCCAGACAGTAGATTGGTGAAGGTAGGAACAGGCAAACCTAGGGGAGCAGGGGCTGCTCACGGTCTGCTTTTCACAAGCTAAGTCTCCAAGTGCAAACCTCCAAACAAAGCCTGGGTGTCACGTAGGATGTGGAAGCTGTTTCTGAGCAGACTGGTTTTATAAACTCAGTAATGCTCTCTAGCAACTAATTTTACTTATTCATTATGTGCCCTTAATTATTTTCTTTTTATAAATATTCTATTTATAGAATTTAAACATATTTCAACATCCTTGTTTCTCAGAGTGAGTGAAACATTGCCTTTTTAACCATTGATTTCCCTCTTGTGTCAACATTGCACACTGCCACTTAGTCTTGATGTAAAATATTTAGATGTCTGGTGGTTTGTGTTTTTTGACTCCTATCTATATACCATAACAAGAGTGGACATGAACTTGTCATGCATTAAAACCCCTGATTTATTCAATAGTATACTTTTTCAGTAAGTCTTTTATCCCATTCTTCACATATCTCAATATTTTTCTTTCCTTAGAAAACGTTTTCTTACTGAGCAGTTCATAATAAATAATGACCAAGTTATTTTCCATGGTAATCTTCAAATTCAATCTAAAATGCAGTAACAGAAACAAATAGTTCAAATTACTGGTTTTAGTACTTTAGTTTTAGTTTTACCTTTTCAGTACTAAACCTCCAGTTACTAAATGCTGTACAGTCATATAGCTGTTAGGTTTTTCTGCAGTAGCCATCAGCCTTCTCCAATTCTGAGTAATGCTGAGTAATACTGTCCTCTGTGATTCGTATCAGAAGACTTGCATACTTCACGACAACACACATTTATATATCACCAATTTTAGTGCAAATTTTGGGAGAAGCAACAGTAAACTGTTCTGCTCTCCTCTCCCTTTCTATTACTTCTGAAGTTTCGAATCTGTGATAATTTAGTCTTCAATTTTGTGTTCTCAAGAGTTTGTCAGAGTCATTTTGAAAAAACAGTCACATTGTCTTCTTTTTTGGTGATACTGCAAGTATGGCTTTTCCATTAACTGTGTGTAGTTGTGTAAAAGCAATTTATCTTTTTTTATCCAGTGGAATAACATCAGTCCTGTACTCTAGCAGAGAGGAAGATACTGACTCTTTGCAGCTTTCTCCCTCTTTACCCTTTGGTAAAACATAATGTCTCATTCTCTATGTTGCTCCTTTTGTCCAGAACACCCATTCTCTCCATGGCCCATGCCTGGAAGTAGGCCCTTCACACTACCACGAAAATCCCCCTTTACACTTTGTGGTGAGCTTCCAGCCCCTCTGGTTTTCCTTTGACAACATACCTGGTCAGCAGAATAGAAAAGCAGATAGTAAGTACAGTGTGATCTGCAGTGCTGCACCAGCAACAGGGAGAACAACCGCTCATGTTTGGCTCCCTCTACCTGCCTAAGTTCTTCTACAGCTCCCAAACAACCCAACAGCTGCAGCTGTGCAGTATCAGCTGTTACAGCTTTAAGGTTACATGGCCCTTGTAAGGTGGGCCAACCCCTTCCCCAGCTAAAAATTACAAGTTTTACAAAAGATGGCTTCAGAACAGTTATTATACAAAAAGAGGGGGAAAAAAAAAGCTAGCGAGAGAGAAAACACAACTTTACATGTTATAGTATCAACAGAGGCTGATGAAAAGGCCCCAGAAGACAGTAAGGACAATAAAATAGAACTAAGACATAGCAATGTTTCATTTTATTTGATAGAAAGTAGCTTCAAAAATATGATTAACTATATACATTCTTATATGCTGTACATACAATCGCATATACAAAATGTACATAATAGCAAACATCTTTCTATTACATTTAATAGATTGTAGTTAATAACATGAGATAGAACTTACATCATATTTCATACCTTTTATCCTGATCCCATCTATAAATAATTGATAGACATGAGCAATGAAAAAGGCTAGCAGATCGCTCAAACCCCAGCCCACACAGAAGTTGTCTCCATAGCTCATTTTATTAGTGCATTGTTCCAGTACAGTTAGGTTTGCAGCACTTTGCTTTAGAGGTATTTGGCTGCTAACCTTATCCTCAGATTTTTTTCCTGCCATTCACCCTAATACTATTTCTAATTTTATTTCTGTAACCCATATCTCCTCAAATCAAGCTAGATTTCTTCAACTTCATGTTGTGGTGTTTTGGGTTTTTTTCACCTCGATTCCTTAGTTGCTTATTTGCCACATAAGAAATAGATTTAACTATTGGTATTCTCTGTTCTGGAAAGAAGTCCACTCAAGCACAAAAACTATAATCCAAATGTTCTCCCCTTCCCATGCTACCTGCACACTGTAAACTTGGAATCAGTCTGCGAGGAAAAACATGTACCTTCCCTCCTCCTCCTCAGGGAATTACAGGGTGTGAGACTGCCAGCTGCTCCCTGGGACAAGTGGTGTCAGATCTGAGGAGGAACTGCTCAGTTACTGGGATTTTTCTATCCCATGAGGAATGCTCTACCTGTCCAACCTCTCTCCAAGCAAGAGGTAGCATACCAAAATCAAAACACAGGGAGTAGAGGCTAGCACCTCTGCCCGTTACTAGTTGCTTTCAAGAGATTGTCCTCTATTTCTTGACTGGAGGGATCAGGTACCCTTATCCTATGGATCTGATGTTCAAGGAAGAGGAGAGAGTGAGAGCTGCCAAAGAATACCAGCAGCAGAATGCCTGCGAGAGAAGCCACAGCCTCCACAAACAGGCTATCCTGGAGGACTCTTCCCTGGAGGACTCTTCCCTGAGCTGAGAGGGAACATGGCTTCTTTCACTGCCTTTCTAACTTTCAGAGGTTCAAAATGAGCTACTTCTTTCCTGCAGACATCTTGAGAGCTGCAGTTTTATTGCCCTAAGAATGTTTTCTTCTTTCCAAGTTAACAGCATCCTTAAATATCTATTTTATTTCTTCTTCTCTCCTCATGTGGTCCTGTGCTTTCTAACACTGTGCTGGCCATAGTCTTCATTTCACTAGGAAATTTTTCTGTTTTCATATCTCTATATCTTTTTTGTATTAATATGCAATAGCTTTCTCTGATCGGCAAAGCGGTTTTCCATCAGCTGTCAAGGTGAAAGCAAGGGGATTAAGGTTCCTCTTATATGCTCTTTTGGTATTACTTGAATTTTTTTTCCAACTAAGGGGAACTTTACTTATATTCTTCAGAACAAGTTCATATTTTTTTAATTACTGCATAACATGCATATGTTCAATAATATCTTAAAGCCAAATATATTAGTATGCCTTCATTTTTTTCTAGGCTGTGGGATTTTCATTTATTTGAGAAAATGGTTTTCAGATTTCTAGTGTGCTTGCAGTATCTCTGTCTACTGTTGCTAGGCCTATTTAGATATTATTTATTTTTTATTTTATACTACTTCTTAATTTCTGTTGAGAATTTGAACTGGTATGAAATACCTTCTGTTATTCCTTGTCTGAATTCCTGAGATCCTGTCTGCAACCTTGGTTGGGAGAGGGTGCTGGTGAGTTTCTGGCAAGATGACAATCCATCTTAGAAGAAGTGGGCTTGAAACACTGCTGTTGACCTTGTGGGGTAGGAGGTGGAGGAGTCAGATGGCTGTCATTTCGCTGAATTTGTGCGTTAGCAGCTGGTGAATCGTCATTCTGCTGGTCTTGTGTACTGGGAGGAACAGTCGAAGAGATGATGCCCTGAGGAGCAGCTGCTGAACCACTGTTGAGACAATTTATAACCAAGCTTGAAATATTAACACTAAATATACAATTATGACTGTTCTTAGTTTCTGAGCAGCCATTTGTTTAGTAGCTAGTTAACCAGTTTTCTTCATTGAAACATTCCCCTTTTCCTTGTTTCACCTCAGCCTTATAGGTCTGAGATGGTGACTTGTCTGTCTTGTTGGATTTGACTCCAAATTCCTTCTCTTGAATTGTAATTGTATTCTGGGGAAAGGCGGAGAAGGTGGTCAAGGAAGGAGGAACAGCAAGGGAGGAGATCAAAACTCCAATATCACCAGTTTTAAAAGTTAGTAACTTGTGTGTACGTTGTTACTAAAGGTACTGCAAGACAGGATTTTCTTTTGACCCCCTCCCTGTACTTCATTGCTGGAAAGTGAACTGAAAGAGTGAGTTCATAAGCACTTTTAAATTCTCCTAATTTTCTAACAGAAAGAAACTTGTGTTATCTGAGTTAAAGGAATCATCACTGTTATCTTGATTACTTACAAGGTGCTTAAATGCCTTTACAGTGAGGAAATTCTGAACATACATAAAATGAATCAATTATAAATGCATTTTAATAAGGATCCATTCAAGAGGGACTATGCAGGCAGTATCTGCATTGGTTTCAATGGATGTTGGCCTGGATTTTACATTATCAATAACAGACATAAAGACATTTTTAAGATATCAAGTTTAAACTGAAAGGTCTATAGGCAATATTAAAAAACAACTCAGAATTGTTACAGTGCTAGCTCAAGTTCCTCCCATCAAGGCTTCAGGAATACTGTGTCTGTACATGAGAAGACTCAGGAATTAGCAAAATTTATGGATTCATCTGGTGAAGATAAAGATGTAAAATATAAAGTATTTAAGATTTAATACTTTCAAAGAAGACAAGCTCTGTGTTCCTGGGCTGCTACTTTTACCACCTGTGTCAAGGACAAGGAAATATACTACAGTGAATCAATACACTGTATATTACAAATACAGAGGACCTTTGTTTTAAGAAGCTTTCTCATCTCTAGAAGAAAAAATATTAACATAGCAAACCCTATTTTAACCATGCTGGTGCATTTGTTTATTGTTTCCAGATGGGAAAATCTGTGTATGTGGATTCTTCCAATAGATATTATCTGAGTATTTCTCGAGTAGTATTTCATAGACTACTGGTGGTCCATGGAGTACTACTAGGTGGCTTAGAGAGGAATTTTAGGAGCAAAGCACTGCTACTTTTCACACAGTTCTGTCATAACAACATCAAATATCTTGGGACAGTTTTGTTTGGTGGAGTTTTTTTTGTTGTTGTTATGAAGTGTCTTACACTTGCAAATATGGATTTTGAAACATGCACGAGAACTGAACTAAGAAGTAAAATATTACTTCAGTATAGAAAGTCTAAGTAAGGACAGATCTTTTCTCCCAGTCTCACTGATTTTAATCTGTTCCTTCTTAATCTCTTATCCTGTTCCTGAGGACAGGTTGAGAGCTGGGACTGTTTAGCCTCAAGAAGGCTCAGGCAGATCTTATCTACATGTATTAATATCTGATGAGAGCGTGTAAAGAAGATGGAGCCTTTTCTCATTGGTGCTCAGTGGCAGAACCAGAGGCAATGGCAAGAAACTGAAACAAAGGAGGTGCCATCTGAACATCAGGAAACACTTTTTCACTGTGAGGGTGACTGAGCACTGGCACAGGTTGCCCAGAGAAGTTGTGGAGTCTCCATCTCTGGAGATACTCACATGAACTGTACATAGCTCTGAGAAACCTTGTCTAGGTGACCCTACTTTGAGCTGCTGGGGTTGGACTCACCAATCTACAAAGGTCCCTCCCAACCTCACTTCTTCAATATGTACATTTGGTATATGTGGAAACAGCACTATGCAAATGCAGTGTTTCATGTGATAGTGCTGCTGTGCACCCTCGAGATCATCGAAATTTTTGCTGCACGCAGCACACCTAACAACATACATCTCTTCCTTATGCTTCAGTGATGTGTGACTGTTGAGATGACTGTTCAAATCAGCAAAATTCTGTGCAGTCGCAGAACAGAAGCAGCATCGAAACCATAAGTTTCCTTTTTGCAGCATGGCTTTCTGACAATTCACATAATCGTTCCTTCTGTTTATTCTAGAGACATAAGTTGTCCGGCAACCACAGGTTAAACAGTCTCCTTTTTCTACCGGGAGGAAGTCCTCCTCCTTTTTTATTGATACTTCCATCTGCTCAGGCACAAATGCATAGTCCATGCTATGAATCTCATTATAATGGATTAGAAATTCTTCTTCTGTGTCAAAGAAGAGATTACCACAAAGGCCACAGAAGTATTTAGTCTGTATCTCCTGGTTATGATGCTCTTGGAAATGTTGCTGTAGTGTTCCGACTTTACGGAAATGATTTCTGCATAAGCCACAGCAGTATCTGTGAAATGCATGGCTTTCTAAGGACATGCAGTGTTGTTTGACACTCTCTTCAGATTCCAGCATCTCACAAGTAGATGATTTCACTGGTAGTGATGAGTTCAGCAATTTTCATTTAGTCTTGTTCACAAGGTAAGAATGCCCATAATAAGCAAGATGTTATTTAATAATTCCTCTGCCCCAATAATTTAGACTGTTTTGGTGGTAAAAGATTGCTAAGTTTAGGTACAAAAGAGGTGTGATTTTCCTTTACTTGTGCGTTAACTGAGGCACAAGTGACATGAAAATGGAATTGACTCTGAAGAGACTACAGAGAATAATAAGAAAAGTAATGCCAAAACTAAAATAGACATATTGGTCAAAGTAACTCCATGTGTTTACTTCTGTATTCTCTTCCTGTAATTTAATAACCTTATGCTCCTTTGTCTAGAATGAACAACTTATTTTGTGCTGTTAAGCTGGACTGCTTCTTTATTACACACTTTTTGTACAAGGTTACAAAAATATTTACCTACTTGGCAATGCATATATGAACACAAGTCTTCATGGTAATTTTAAGACTTTTAGATTTTGTTACCGTAGAGTAATATATGGAATTACACACTGCATGCTGCAATTCTATTTTTAAGACTTACCAAAAGCTATGCTTCTGAAAAGCACCTGAGTTAAGATCTTTGCTTAAAATTGGCTTCTTGGTGCAATTGTTCAGTTTTTGTCCCATCATTCTCCTAATTAAAGCATCATCTGTGTTTGGAAACAACTGTTTTGTGATTCCTGCGAAATAAAGAGAAGATATATATGAGGCCTCCAAATCAGGGAAACAACAGATGTATGATCTAAAATATATCTCTTGCATCTTTGAAATTTCCAGCTACTTCGACTTCAGCTCTAGCTACTTTGATGTCTTCACACACTACTTAAGAGATTTTGCGCATGCCAGCTCTGTGCTTTCCATCTTGCTGTGCCTGCTCTTGGTAGACTCCAAGAGGACTCCAAGGCCACAAGGCCTTTCTGTATTGCTCATCCTCTCTCCCTTGATTGTTCATCCTTGATTGCCCGGCCTCTCTGTTCTTGATCAGAGACTCCTTTTCCTATCCTCATCAGTCCTCATGCCTCTGAATCTTACAGGTTTTGTTCATTAATTTACATTTGCAGGTGATATCTCTTTCCCTAAAAATTTTCCTTCTGTTTTACCTGGCTGACTGTTTTTAATGGAATACTAACAGCACTCGACATCAGGAATGCAATTCTTGCTCCTCTCTTCTCCATCATCTTTCCTTCCCTTGATTTTTCCCCCCTTTCATTTCATTTTGAAGTCTTGCAGTTTCCATCTTCTTTAAATAATCTTATCTACTAACTCCTAGGCTAAATAATGTAATCTACTAATTCCCAGGCTTCCTTTTTATTTTTCTTTTTATCTTGTGTAATGTTGACACTTTTCTATTTGAATCCAGGAGTTTTATCATTTCCCTTAACAGACTTTGACTTGTCTATAAGCTCCCCTTTGTCACTGAATTCTCCACAGCATGCTGTATGATTATTTTCTCTGGTTCCCTTTTCAGTTTTGCCTGGCCCTTTCCTCAGAATCGACCTTTAGAAAAGTCACTAGTAGCTTTTAGATCTATAGAATTATTTAGCTTGGGAAAGACCTTTAAGATCATCAAGTCCAACCATTCTTCTCATCCCATTAAATCTTTTAAATATTTCTCATATATCATTCTGAAACTGTCTCATCTTATGTCTTCTAAATAAGTTTTCACTATCTTACTCTTTTCCCTCTTGACTTTGGGCCTTTTCTCTAGCTAGGTTCTTAAGGAAAAAAGGTTAACAACTGGTAACTTTTGAAACTGCTGGAAAACTTCAACAAAACTGGACCAAGGTACAGGAACTGGAGCTAAGAAGGGAAGCGAACTGAGAAAACTGGGCAAGTCCAAGGGAATGGCAACGGAAGAGGGATTCTAGCACAAGAATTTAGGCTATGTTGTTCAAGTATTTATCTATAGGTGTGAATCCAATAAAAATCTGTGTTCATGTGCTCACAAAACACTGTTTTCTTTAAAGGTGCTACTTCCATCTGAAATGATTCTCTTTCCTATGCACCAAACATTTTCTGCCTTAAACCTCATCTTAAAACAAATCTTGTTTGCTTCTCTGATCACTACTTCTGTCTTCTATACTTATTCTCTCATTTTGCCTCCAGCACTATTTAAAATGTCAGAATTCATAACATTCACTAACTTCAGAATATAGCAGACATAATTTTAAACTTGATCCAAGAGTGTCCTCTATATGCCTTCCCTCATCTGTTACCATCATGCTCCAAGTTTGACTGTTGTAGGTTAACCTTTCAAAGGCTAAAACAATTTACAGTATCACTGTGTCTGAGTAGTGACCTAAATAAAACCCACAAAATTCACACAATAGAAATACTACTACTTAGCATTTCACTGACAGTATTTGTAACAGATGGTTCTAAAAAGTATGTAGCTGAAGAAGGAAATATGAAACAGCACATCACCTGAGTAGACCAGCTGTTAAGCATTACAGCCCCTCCCTCAGACAAAACCCTCTATCAAGTCAGTGCCACATTGAGTAATGTTAACAAGTCATCACCTATGATTTCCTGAACTTCATTCTGATTCATAGCTGGTTTTGCCGCTTTATCCTTTGAAGAGGAGGACTTTGCACCTGTCAGGCTGTGTGTAGCCATGTATTCATGTGTATAAAGTGCTTGCATCAAGTCATTTATAAACTTTTGAGGTTTGCTCTTGTTACAAAGTGCAATCTGCCACTTTTCGATCTTGAACTGGAAAACAAAATTGGTCATAGACATAACTATTGCAGTTCTCTAGAAATATTATGTAGTATTACCTCTGAAATATTTTTTTTTTAAATTTTCTGTTTTTAAACCACAACGTAATCTCTGCAAACCGTGTGCTTGACATTAACGCTGCACAACATTCAACGTTTGCAACTATACATACAGGTTGATTTTTTTTTTCAGAAGCAAGAGTAAGGCAGACTAAGGACCCCATTCATCCTAGCAAACACTTCACCAAACAATCCTTATTACTCACTAGTGGAGACAGGACATGTTCAGAAATATCTAAATCCTTCTGCTTGCACTCCATGCAGGCTGGCTGTGGTCCAGTTCTGGCATGGATTCTGTACAGCCTCAGAAGCATGGCAATATGCCCAAGCTAATATTCCTGCCTCCAAGCAAACATGCCCTAAGAACTGTGACATCTGGTCCTGGGCTTTGAGAGTGACTTCTACACACAGCAGTTGTACAGCCTAAGTATCTGAACTCCCCTAATGGGCAGTTTTGAGCTATCTCTATTAAGTAAGTCTAGGTTGCTTAGAAAATTAGGTATTTTTATTTCTTTGGAGATGTTAGGTCAAATTTTATGTATTGCAATATTCAGTCAAAACATCACACCTTGATAATTGTTAATAGATTTCTTTGGGTTTTAGGACCCCTTGACAACAGACAAGAATGATTTCCACTGGTTAGCATGACTCAGTGCCTAAGAATGTTTATGTAAATTGTGAATGCAGAAGCTAGAATTATTCTTTTGGTTATATCTTTATAGTTTTCACGTACAGCCTCTGTGCCTCACATTTCTCAGTTATGCTCTGTTAGAATTACAGAGAATGGGGGAACATTTTTATTCAGTATGTATTTCTACTGGCCAGTATCTTGAACAAGAGCAGAAACATACCATTCTCCATTTACTTCTTACAGTTTAAGCAGACTGCTGATATTTTTCTTAGATTATCTCTGAAACACTACCATTCCCCTTTAGCAACCAAAACATTAGGCTCAAAGTTATTCCTGGATCTCAGTATTTTCTCCATGCATCCACATTCTGCCCTTAGTCACAGATGTGCAAAGCCACTGACATTAAAACGAGTTTAAGAGTGGACCAACATACTGATTTGTCCAGTGTTTCTCATGAAAAAAGCTTCCTGCACAAAAGGAGATCATGAGTCACGTCATCAACTGAATGACAATATGATTTTAACTGATGCTTATTTTTTATATTTGTTATACTATAACAGTAATGTTTGTACTGTATAAATATTTAATTTTTATGCCTGACATTGCCTTTTAACTGACCTGTTTTTCTGTCTGTTGCTCCTCATCTTCTGCATTCAAAGTTATTGGTGAGCTGGAGTTACTGTGCATAGCTGCATATGAATCTGCTAATGGATTGTTAGATGCCTTCCAAACAGCATGTGAATGCAGACTGGATGTAGATGATGTCACTCCCCCTTTAAGCAGTGCTTCAGCCATCCCTACCAGTTCCTCAAAATGGGTGACTGCCTGTGGCAATACTGAAATCAAATGGAAAGTGAGGGATAAAATAGTAACTGAAGCTTTCAGAGTCTAATTACATACGCATGTATATTTTTGCAATTAAATTCCTGTCGCAAGAGTGTCAAAGCAGTCAGCAAAGATGCTTTAACATACTTTTTTCTATTCTTTCATATATTTTCCTGCCATTTTGCTCTCCCGTCCCATGAAGATCTGTTCTCTGTTTCTAGAATAGGATAGATCAGTTCTCTGCAAGGCTAGGAGATACCATTAGTTTACGCCCATCATGGCACTAAACAGGCTATTTATCTTTTTTCTTTTTGCTATCTCAAAATCTCTACAAGTCTGTAAAGCTATTGAATATGGGATAAGTAATGTTATGTCTGATTTTTTTTTCTTCAAAGAAGTTACATAGACTTTTTTCCTTTTTTCCCTTTTTTAATCTATAGAGAGTATCTTTTAAATAATCTTTTCTCCAAGTAGTATTTATTTTCAAATAGAAACTTTTATTGACTCCATTAAGAAAAATAAATTCCGAGCAAAAAGGATGCAAGGAGTGAAGAATTGGCAAGATACAGAATCCCTAAATTACAGAAAATACCATAAAATACAAGTGCTTAAGGTGCAAGGCAAGTGGATGTAAAAGTGTAAGAAAAGTCGTCAGACATTAACAAAATGTTTAAAAATAATATTCAAAAAGGTGGAGAAGAATGATTCAAACCTAGACAAATAACATAGGGAATGGAATCAGGTGGGCAATGAAACTGATAAGCACTTGCAGAAAAAAGACAGTAGACTGTCTAGGGATGGTATGATATAGCTCGCAAGGGAAGGAGCAAATCTTCTTTAAACCTTATTCATTCACTAACGGTTTGAAATTTTGGATTCAGTCTTGGCTGCCCCAGAGTAAGGGACAGAGACAAATAAGAGGGGCTTCAGAGATGATCACTAAGTGATGTAAGATTAATTTATGAAAGAACAGAATGGTTCACCTCTGGGAAAGGACTAGATTTGTTCTACCTGGAACTAACTCAGATTATCAATAATGAGGAATTACCAAAGTAATTAGAAATGAGATAATTCTAGAACAAATAATATTCAACAGTTAAAAGACTGCAGAGTATTAGAGGGGCTGAGACAGAGATATGCAATTGGTTTCAGAACCATGGTACTGTGGCAGACACCAGGGAGAATAAAGCACCCTGGACTCTCGTGACCCATAAGAGCAGGACTCTTCTTCAGTCCCCACCCTCCAGCATTACAACCAAGACCAGATATGAAGCTTTAACAGCTGCAGACACCCACGAGCAAGGTCTGCAAGGAGGAATTGTACCAGCAGCACACAGTGTATACCACAGAAGGAAGCGACGAGTGCTTGTAGTGGGTGACTTTCTGTTGAGGGGCACTGAGGTGCCCATCTGCCAACCTGACAGGGAGTCACAAGAAGCTTGCTGCCTTCTGGGAGCTAAGGTCTGAGATGTTGCTGAGAGGGTGTCACAACTTGTCAAGAGCACAGACTGCTTACTATCCATTGCTACACTTTCATGTGGGCACAAATGACACCACAAGCTGGAACCTGGGCAGAATCAGGGAAGACTACAAAGCCCTGTGGGTGTAAGCGAAAAGTATTGGTCCTCAAGTTATCTTTTCTTCCACTTTACCAGTTAGAGGAAAGAGTGCAGCCAGAAATAGACACATAATGCAAATCAAATTCTGGCATCATGGCTGGTGCCATCATGAGGCTTTTGACTTTTATGACAATAGGACATTCTTCAATGACTATAGCTTGCTAGGGAGAGATGGGATCCACCTGTCTAGAAGAGGCAAAGGAATCTTTGGCAGCAGACTGTCCAACTTTCTGAGGCAGGCTTTAAACTAAAGTTCTTGGAGGGCAAGGTCCCATGTGGCAATGCTCATGCCATTGCAACCAACTGGGGAATAAGCTGGGTCAACCAGAGCAGCAACAGATGTTCCTTAGCTGCCTCTCAAGATGAGAACCAGAAGACCAACCACCTCAAGTATATGTATACCAGTGCTGCCTGGGGAACAAACAGGAGGAACTGGAGCTCCGTGCCCAGTCAGGAAGTTATTATATTGTAGGAATAACTGAAACATGGTGGGACAACTCACATGACTGGAGGATCACAATAGGCTGTTTCATAAAGACAGGCAGGGAAGAACAGGAGGAAGAGTTGCACTGTATAGAGAGAGAACCTTGAATGTATAGAAGTCAACTGTGCTGATTGTGGAAGCCCTATCAAATGCTCACGGGTCAAGAATGGAGGGATCGTCTCCAATGGGGATCTTACAGTAGGCATCTGCCTACTATATTTGGGTCACTTAAGCAAGCTTCAGGTCAAGAGAATCAGACATTTGTTGGAAGAATGATATAGCAGCTATATGTCATGTGTCAAGTTCCTGGAATGCGTAGAGGACCGCTTCCTCATACAAATGTTAGATGTGCCAACCAGGAATGAGGCACTGCTGGACTTGCTACTCGCAAACCAAGAAAACCTGCTTTGTAGTATCTCTCTTGGTGACAGCCTTGGCTGCAGTCATCACAGTATCATGGAGTCAGGGATCCTGCTGAGCACACTGAAGGTTAGTACTAAGGTAAAGATTTTAGATTTTACAAGAGCAAACCAGCTCAATCAGCTCAGTTGGGAGGAATTCCATGGGAAGCTTCCATGGAAGATAAAGTTGTTAGCAAGTGCTGGGAGTTTTTCTAGAATGCTCTCCTAGAAGCACAAAAACAGTTCATCCCCTTAAAGGTAAGGGAAGTAGGCAGAGCAAGAGACCCCCTTGGCTTAACTGTGAGTTTCTAAGTCTGCTCAAATCCAAAAGAAAAGCATATCGGAGATGGAAAAATGGACAAATACCTGTTAAGAACCACAAGGACATTGCCAGGGCATGCAGAGATGAAATTACAAAAGCAAAAGCTCAGCTTGAATAGAAATTGGTCAGAGGTGTCAAAAAACTACAAGAAAGGGTTCTTCAGGTACGTAAACAATAAGCATAAACAGAAGGAAAATACTGGCCTGCTGTTAAACAGGAGAGGTGAATCAGTCACCAAAACCACTAAAAATACCAGAGGTTTTCAACTTTTCCTTTATTTCTGTCTTTATGAGTGCTATTCAGACCCAGGCCTTGGGAACAAAAATCCAGGTAAATGCAAACACAGATCCACTGTCAGTGAAGGAAGAATTGGTATGCGAACTGTTACAGGATTTTGACCTCTATATATTGATGGCCCTGTCATTATCCACCCGAGGGTGTTCAGAGAGCTGGCTGACATCGTTGTGAGGGCACTCTCCATAGTCTTAGAGAAACTGTGGAGATCAGGGACATCCCACAAGACTGGAAGAAGGCTAATGTCACCCCCATCTACCAGAAAGGCTTAAAGAAGGATCCAGAAAATTATAGGGCCATCAGTCTTACTTCAGTCCCTGGAAAAGATATGGAACAAATCCTCCTGGGCACTATCATATGTGATATCACAAATGAAACACGATTGGGAAAAGCCAGCATGGATTCACCAGGGGCAAATCATGTTTGACAAACCTGATGGCCTTCTATGACAAAGTAACCTGCTCGGTTGATGTGGGGTGAGCAGTAGACATTGTCTACCTGGATTTCTCCAAGGCTTTTGATACACTCCCCCTCAGTTTCCTCCTAGAAAAACTGATACATTGTGGTCTAGACAAGTGGTCTGTGTGGTGGGTGGGGAACTGGCTGACAGGCTGACCCAGAGGGTGGGGGTAAATAGCTCCTTTTCAAACTGGCAACCTGTCACAAGCGGGTCCCCTGGGGATCGATATTGGGCCCAACACTGTTTAAAATCTTCATAAGTGATTTGGATGATGAGATCAAGTGTACTCAGATAAAGTTTGCTGATGATACCAAACTGAGTGGGGAAGTGGACACTTTGGAAGGGAGAGCCACCCTCATGGAAGATCTGGATAAACTGGAGGACTGGGCTAACAAAAACCTTAGGAATTCAACTAGAACAAGTGTAAGGTCTTGCACCTGGGAAAACATAATCCAGGAGTGCAGCACAGACTGGGATCTACCCGACTGATCTCTGTGGAAAGGGACCTGAGGGTCCTGGTGGACAACAAGCTCAATATGAGTGAACACTGTGCTGCTGCATCAGCGACAGAGAAAGCCAACAGGATGCTGGGTTGCATCCACAAGGGCATCACCAGCAGAGATAAAGGAGTCATTGCCCCACTCCTTGAGAAGAGTGAGGCAATGAGAAGAGAAGGCTCTGGGGAGACCTCATCAACATTTTCTGTAATTTAAACGGTGGCTACAAAGAAGATGGAGACTCCCTTTTTACAAGGAATCACATGGAAAAGACAAGGGGTAATAGGTACAAGTTACTTCTGGGGAGATTCTGTCTGGACACAGGAGGAAAATTTTTCACAATGAGAACAATCAGCCACTGGAATAATCTTCCAGGAAAATGGTGGATTCCCCAACAGTGGACACTTAAAATTCAGCTGGACAGACTGCTGGGCCATCTTGCCTGGACTGTGCTTTTGCCAGAAATGTTGGACCAGATGATCCTTGAGGTCCCTTCCAACCTGGGATTCTATGATTCTATGAAATTTCAGTAGATGAGGAAAGATGACTAATAAATAAGGTTAGTTGGACTGGTCAGTGGAGTGTCTGAGCTTAGCCGATGGTTACACACAGCATACAGAAAGGTTCTCTTGGGAACAACTGACAGGATTTAGACAGATTTTAAAATTTCGAACTGTGTGATTGCATGGCCTCCGTGTAAGACAGTTTTTTCTAACTGCTGCCAGAATTAAATGTTGCCATGTCTCAAAGACTGGTGCTAATGGTAGGCCTTGATCGTGTCAAGTGCTTAAGCATCCATAATTCCCATCCAAATGGCCTCTTATAAATCAAGCTTCTCATGACCTTAAGGCTTTCCTCTTCATCAAAATATTACCCCTGACTTTACCTTGAAGCATCACCAGGGACTGCCTTAGGCGGCAGTTTTCTCTCATGGTGTCTGTCAGTTTCCTCTTGAGACTTTTTATTTTGGCACACAGTTCTACCTTGGATAGTTGAAATAAAGGCTCTTCATCATCACTGCTACTTTCACTGTACAGAAAATTGCTTCCTGAATACGATTCTCTCTGAAAAAAATAAAACCGTGCTATCTAGAGCAACAACAACATAAAATTAAAACGTTAAAACTAACATTCAAATATCTGGCTAAATCAGAATACTTCATACACAGAATTCATACACAGAATACAGTAAGCAGACTCAGTGTATTTTAATAATAGCTGTTACTGAACATAGCAATTACCATTCCTGTTAAAATTAAAAATGAAATGTTAGTGTAATATGAAACTGTCAGGTACTTCTCCATTCACCAGTTTTCTAAGGTAGTGTCCTTTAGAACACTTCACTAAAACAGAAGTCTTATGCCCCCCTAAACAAATATATTTCAGTTTGCTTTTGCTTAATACATTAAAATTGCTGAAAATGAGATGTTTACCTGTTTGTTAATTAAAGATGTTTCAAGTTGACTCAGGATGGTGGCAGGAGCAGATGCCTGCAATGATTTCTTTCTTTTTATATGCTTCATCATCTTTCCCTGTAAACAAGATCATAATAGTGCCTTTGCATTTCTATAGAGCTTTTCATTACAGTATCTCATAGTATACCATAAACATTTATTCACTGTGCACTTGACATTTTTGGTTAGTATTTCTGAAAAATATGTTTGCACCTTTTTATTAAGATTTATGTTTTCTTTCCCTACATTTTGTCATTGCAGATAGCACAATGCAAAGCTCAGAAAACATGTTCTTTCTTATGCAGTGGTCAGATTTCTGTCTTATGGAAGAAAATGTAACGGAGCTACAGAGCACACAAGTCTTGAATAGTGCTTTTCTATTTAAATAGCAAAGGACAAAAATCTATTGGCCTAAATGATTACTCAGACAGAATATTGTACTGAGGTACTATGTTAAAACTGCCTGTATTCCTACCTTTACTGTACATATTTTGTGTATTGTGAAGAATCAATAGTTGCAGTCTGTTTCACTCCATTATGGGCCTATCAATATCAGGTATATAAAGACAGAAACTCACCTGTTCTTTATCCAGGTCACTGTCCTCACTTTCTGAGAATATCATTTCTATTCTCTTCCTCTTGCTTTTTCCAAGGACTTGTATTTTTGTAATTTCATCTGCTCGTAATATCTTTTGCATCATTTCCACCAGCTCTTGGGGGTCATCTGAAGTGATGGAAAAAAAAAAAAGGCCAAAGCACAGAAAATTGTGTAGCAATACCTTATAACTAGATTAAAATTTTGTATCAGACAGATGCTCTGGAACTACACTCACCACTCATATACACAACTTTCACCAGATGCTTCTCTGTCTTTCTGTCTCCCACAGGCCAGTTTACTAGCACGTGCTCATTTGGTTTCAGAAGTCTTTCTAGTTCATTGTCATCACTGGGAAGGTTCTGTATCCATGAAGTCTCTCCAATTTGTAATGAATTATCATTTACAAAATCAAACAGTGTGAATTTTTTCATTGTTAAGTGATTTTCCTGTTACACAGACACCGCCTGCAGGATGTCATAGGAAAAATAACTGTTACCATGTTATGCCACAGGAATGTTACAAGAACACTTTAAAAAGCCCCAAACAACTGTCCTATTCCTGGATATGGGTAATTAACCTTGTATGAAAATATCCTGTTAAGGAAGTGAAAACTAGCCAAGCAGCATGTTATATCTCCCCTGAAATATGGGAGGTGATCTGCTCAACACATGCACATCAGAGAGTTGCCTCCAAAACTATGCACAGAAAACAGCTTTCACTCACAGAGCCCTTGCTTCCACATTACTACTATGCCTAGTCTATCTCCTGGCTGGGATCTCTATTACTACTACATTTGCCCAAACAAAAGTTTTCAGTCCAGCCTCTGACTAAAAGGTACAGGTGTGACAAAAACTCTCCCTAGAATGAAGGAAAGTACTAGCTATACATGCTATTAAGAGTGATGTATGACTTCTAGGGCTCTTTTAATCATCTCACGGGCAGCAAGATGATGTACAAATGTAGCCACAGAAAAATAAGCCCAGAACAATCCAGGACAACTGACTGGGTGAGGGATGACGCATTCTGGCAGTGGAAAATTTGACATACAAAAGAAATGACAGGCTGAGGACTGGAAGAGAGCTGGGCTGCTTCACGAAGAATAAAAGCAACAAGGAGAACCCAAACCCAAATATATAGCTAAATCATTTGCTTATATAAAACAATATTTTTAAAGTGAAGGACCATTTCTGGGCTTTTTAAAGCACCGAAGTTCTACACTGAAAGAAGGGAACAAGTCATACTTCATGCTTTATTTTTCTAATTAAGCTGATATGCCTTACACAGAAGTATGAAATGTAACATACATTATTAAACTCCACTAGAAATACAATGGGTTCACTGAAGTGTTTCCATTATACTCAGAGAAGATATATTCTACTTTAAAATTAAATCAGATAAAAACAATAAAAATCTGGTTTTGTCAAACTTTGATCTTCTTTCCACCAAACATACAGTTTAGACTATCAGTTCATAAAGGTGAAGTACTTTTACAGAGCTGAAAACTCATGAATTCTCAGGTGTGACAGTGTGATTTGCAATTTACTTGTCCTCAGTCAGTCTGAACCAAATCTAATGCCTCATGCAGAGCCTGTCAAAAATCTAACTCAGAGCTAGGAAAGGAGAATTACCAGGGCTATTATGTCAAAGTGAGAAAATACGGCTGCAGTGCTCTAAGAAGCAATGTCAATTTGTTTGCAGAAGCCCAGCTCACCACTATTCACCATGTCTGTGCTACACCTCAACAGAGCTGGCTTTTCACACAGGGGTGAACTTGGTAATTTGTGAACGACAGCTGCACTGTTGTCAACATATTTACTGATACAATGAGGCAGGTGGCGTAAGAAATCGGCATTAAGAACAGTATGAAATCTTTTATGCAGAATGTGTTGTGTGATAGCAGTAGGATTGTTAAGTACTGCCCTGCTGAAGAAAGAAGACTATTTGCAAGAAATAACATTAATTTTCTTTAAAGAGAATTAGAAAGACCAGGAAACATCCATCCCATGTAAATTCTGGAAAGGAAGTGGCCTGAATATCTATGCCTAGTATGAATCACTGGAGGCCTCATTCTGCCACCAGTCCATGCTGAGTGGATCCTTGTACCACAGACAAGGATCATTCAAATGAATGTTTATTCATTATATATACTCTATATGTTTATTTTGACAAAGCAGAACCCAAAGAAAAAAGTTTCAGCACTGACCTCACTAGGGATAGGTGAGGTCCAAAATGAAACAGCATGTTTGTCTGAACAGCAATATACCAGATTTAAAACAACTTGGTGCATGCAATCACATTGAGCATCAGTATTCTTCTTTTTCAAAATGCTTGAGTATGTGCCCCAGTCTCCTTAACATTTTTCATCTGGCAGGAAGATGTTAACTTCTACCTCTAATCAACACAGCACAGCAATCCCCATCACGCAGTTCTGTGATTCTCAGATGAAGTACTTTGAGCTTTCCACTCCTTGGCCTTTGGCAGTTGGGAGCTTCTTCATTACCCCTCTGAAAGCCCACATAAAAGCAACAGAATTGCAGCAAAGTTGGAGCTGCCAGTGTGCTAAGACTAACAGCTGACTGACTTCTATATTTCGTGTTCCTGTACTCCTCTAATAGTTTGTATCTCATTTTGTATTGAGACAAATATTCTCTGAGCCATGAGATGTTCTTGTGGTCTCCACTTGTGCAAGGTTAGCAAACCAGCCCGGGATTTCCAGGGACACACTGAGGATACAGGCTGTCCACAGCATGGAGGATAAGAGATGATCCCCCACAGCACTGGGGCTATTCACGTACACACTGTGCTAACCCTGTGCACATCAGTAGCAAGTCCAACAGCTTGTGGAAGGTATCAGGCTTGTGCATGTGTTTTACAGCTTAATGAAGTCAACAGATATGTGGACTTCTGAATGCTTGGAGCCCATGACAGCAGCCTGGTGCCACTGTTATCCACTGAGAAGGCCATGGCTAGCAAAATCGCTCGCACAGTCTTTACAACAGACAAGCACCTGGATCCACAAAAATCCATCCTGCCACTAAAAGCTAGAGACAATTTTTACCATGGTCACGCTGGGACTCAGAGCTCAGCAATTTGTCTACATTATCTATAAAGCTCTTTTGAGCTGCCAAGATTCTTGCCAGTGGTGGGAGGGTGTACTAGTAAACAGCTAAACTGATTTCACCAAAAGTCTTAACAGCTGCCAAGTTAAAATATAAACTACATAGAATGCTGAGAGAAGCAAGGAATGGATTTTACAAATAGTCATAGAGGAGGGATGGGGTTGATCCACTCCTTTAGCTCCCAGCAGGAGTCCAAAATCCTTCTGGCAGCTTTCTGAGGCTTGTGCTCAGTCCTGTTGCTCCAGTTGCTTTTGAAGGGGCCAAGGCAGGAAAGCAGTTGTTGGGCAGCAACAGCAACTGGCCAGGTCCCCTCTCCTCTGCTGCAACTCTGCTGGGGCATCAGCTCAACTGCTTACATTACAGATAAAATGACAAAATTAATACATTGCCAAATAAAAGGAACACAGTGCAACGGTTGATTGTTAGTATTTCTGTTATGGAGCTATGGCTTCAGGTCCTGCAGTAGACATTAATCAAACTATGTCTCTTCACAGAATTTATTGTGACAATCCATGGGCCCTGGGGATAATACCTAACTGTCTGTTGGCATCATCTCTAGCCAGTGATTAAAGGGAATGGAAATGTAGAACAAAATGTCTCTAATGAAGAAAAGGAACAGTAAAATACTTCACTTACTGGAAGAGAAGTCCTGCAGTGTTTTTTCTCATTCTGTTCTCCCACTGGAGTCAATGTGAACCTTGTCCGAGTCAGGACGGCTGCAGATGCCTCCGTCTAAAATGTTTTATTTGCCAAAACAGATGAAAGGCAAAATATATTGTCCCATCAGGGGGAAAAAAAAAATCTTGAGGAGTGGGATTAATCTTACCAAACTTTTAATGCCTTAAAAGTGAGAGGTTGTCTAGCCACGCCTGGCTCAGTCACTGCAGAAAGAGAGGTGATTCATCTCACCCTAAGACACATATCTAAAAGACAGCAGATAGATGACTTACTGTCTGCAAGAGCCTACTTCTTTCCGCTGACTTTTCAGTGACGATACAGGGGTAGTAGATACGTCTTCTTAAAGAAGCTGGCTTGACCCAACTCATCCTATATTGGCTTTTTCTATTTTTGAATAGTAGGATAGATTCCAGCAGACCTTCTGCTATACGGAGCCAAAAGGACGGAGTCTGTTAAAGTGTATTTGGTTCTCTGTTTTAAAGCTTTCTAACACAGTGCTGCAAGTCATCAGGTAAGATTTCTGACACTGAGTGCTTTGTTGAGTGGTTTAATTGGAAGATATATAATCGTTCACAGACATTACCCTGTGTGCAGCTACTAACCACAAAGACAGAATTATATAACCTTTGAAAGCCACTTATGTTTTGCAAGTTATTTAATTCTGCTGTATTCTCCATCTGAAAACACTAGCTACTTCTTTGAGAAGTACTGAAATGCAAATTTATTATTTTCACTATTCTAAGAAACAAATCTGTCTTTTTTCTGAAAGCAGGTAATTTGTAGAAGGGGTAAAAAAAAAAAAAAGCCATTTAATTTTAAAGCTCTGCAGAGGAAACATTAATTGGACTCTTAATTTTTACAAACATGTTAACACCTCACATTTTGCACAGATGCTACAAATTTGCACACAGAATACTGTTACTAAGCAACCCAAAAAGCCAGCACAAAAAATCCCCCAACAAAACCACAAAAGTAATTTAAAGACATATTTCACCCTTTGACTGACATAGTCTGTTCCATTCAGCCGGAGAGTTGGCAGATGGCATGCTGAGATCATTATTTCTCTTTCCTTTCAGTAAACGCAGTGTAAAGTATTACAAATTTACAACACGAGATTGTAGGCCCACTCAATTCTGCCAGCTTAAAACAGAGCTTTGCCACTGATTTCAGCCAAACAAGAAACGGTACCACAACTGTGCAACACGGATCCATAATAAAGTACTAACATTTTATATTATCTACCCTCTAAATTCAGCCTTTGATAATCCTAGTTTTCCTTAGGAAAAAAGAAAAAAACAACCTTTACTGGGCTAGAAATTCATCTACCTCACTCAAAACTATTTGTTTGCAATTCAGCATGATGAGTGGTAGTCACAGATTTGGTTTGTGTTACTTAGACTGTTGAATTTTACACCGAACTTGTCAGGACATTAAATACAATGTTGGCGTAAAACTCTTGGGCTGCACTGAAGTCTCAAAATTCCCAGTTCTCTGTAGCAAGTGTATGATGCAAAATGTTATATATTCTGTTGTGGGTTCTAATCTTATTCCCCTGAAACCCGTGTAAGATTTACTAATGATTTCAGAGGAATTAGGTACTGTTGGAAGAATGCAGAAGTGTTGTTAGTGCTTGAAAGATTTAAAGTGTGATATCTTAGACATTTTGTGGGAAAATATGGCTTAAAAGCACAAATCTGCTGTTCTCAGCTGAGAAATAGTACAGATTTTCCAGAATCATCAGTATCACTGTGTTCCAAATTCAGCTGGAAATCTGGGGGAGCATCTATACTATTACTGCAGCCTTCAAGACTATAACTGCACAGAAATGATCCCACTGTCTTTCACAGGAAGGATAAAACTACATGATTTTTATGACTGATATCCAACAGCTCACTTCCTGACCAAAGATCGCTATCCTGGTGTGACTAGATATGAAATCATATGAGATACTTTCCTAAGAAGTGATGCTATACATGGTAAAGTGACATCATCTGGCCCTATTTATGCAGATTGTCTCGTTGACTTCAAAGCCTCAGCAGCATTTACAATCCACAGAATTATACGCAGAATTTGGCCCATACCTTGTCCCACACATTAAAATCCAGTTGAGTGGCCCAAGGGATTCATGAAGCCATTATTATTTTTCACAGTAGTGCTCTCCATGATGTGAGTTTTAGCAACCTAGAAGTTCCATAATATAAATTAATACCCAAATACATTAAAGCCCTTTGTAGGACTGTGGCTTAAAAAGCTCTGATTTTTGCATCAAACCATTAATTTTATTTGTAATACTGGGTGATAGGAAAGTATGAATAATGATTTTATTAAGCAGGTATATTTAGTATGTCTAGAAGTACTAAACATTAGTTCTAACAATTTATTCAGCTAACAGTGAAACATGGTATTTTAATAAATTTCAAGATAGCAATCTAGCATCATTATTGGGATTTCAGTACCAGGATTCAGTTCTAGATTAAGATTTAGCTGTCAGTGGTGCACCAGGCATCTAAGTTATCATTGTAATCACTGGAGATATAGGGATCAGTTTGGCTTCCTAAATGTAGGTGTCTAGCATCAGTGTCCTCTTGTATTCTGCTTGATCTTCAGCTGCTACTCCAGAAGTGCGAATGTCCCACAGGTCTTTTATCACAACTGTGGTCCCTTTGGAGATATCTCAGCCTTAAGCAACTCCAACAGTCATAAGATTCAAGCCCCTGTTGAACACAATTAAAGCTCTCTGGAGAGCAATTCAGCTTATTTCAAATGATGCAGGGCTCAATTCAGTTGCCTGAAAAGAAATGCACAGTGCAGTCTTAGATACCATAAATTATTATGCCTGGCCTCTAACTGCCTCTTCTGATGGGCACATATCTCACAGAGGGCCTGAATCCTCTTCCAGGCTCATGAGGGTGGTTACTAACTCTAGGCACCTCAAATGGCACTAAACACATACTTTTAGGGAAGCATATTGTTCTCTGGATCCCAGTGATTGAACTGAGTTGAAATAGGAGCTTAGATACCTCACATGCCTACAAATCATATATATTTATTTACCTGTATTTTAATCCCACACTCAGTGAAAGACTCCCATAAAGATATCAAGATGCAAAACAACAAGGCACAAGTAGGTATCTTAATTCTACATCGCCGATTAGTATCTTTATTAAATAGCTATTTCACAGCTAACAGATGGAAAACTAATACCCACTTTGATTTGCTTGTTTGCAAGTGCCATGCTCAACAAAGTGTATTAATATACAGACCAAAGAAAATCAGTTTATTGAACTGGATGAGACACCTAAGCTACAGGAATTTGAATAGTCTTGTGAAAGCTCTTTCCATACAGGTTAATATATCCAAACTCTTAGAAGCAGTAGGTAGTCTAGGAGGAGAAACAAGGTCAGCATGACTCTGCAGAGTCCAACACTTAGCTGTACTCATTCCGACCTGGCTTGGGTAATTCAACACAACAGATCTTAACAGCTCCTAAATTATAAAGGCCAGTGACATATTTGTTGATTTTGTCTAAAGGTGTTTACGGAAATGCAACATGACGTACAAATCTGTGCTGAGGTGCAAAAACTGTGCACTTGCTCTCTCTAACAGCCCAAGCAGTCAAATACCCTTTTCCTAAAAGGCTGAAAAAATATCAGACATACTTTCCATATGCAATTAAGGTACTTTCAAATTGGAGTTGTTCAAAGAAACCCACTGATAACCTGATGTGAGTGTTTATAAGAGGATGCATCTTACTCTTTTTATAAGATGGCATAAGCTATCTTACTTCTTTCAATAAGCTGTGCTGCCTCAAAGCATTTACTGCCAGTGACATTCTCCCTTCAACTCTAAGAGCACAGAAGTGAAATAGCAACTAGGAAATTCCAGGCTTGAGCTCTGGTTAGTATTTAATAATCTAGTGGCATCTTAACTATCTCTATGTCTTTATTAGCTGTCACAGGTGAGTGATGATAGATTAGAAGTCATGCCTTTGGTTAATACTCAAAGTGCCTGTTCTTCAACTCCAAAGCTCTTCCTCAATTGCTCTGGTTTTTGCTGCATGTTGGTAGGAGAGAATTAACTTGATTATCTCCAGTTAAAAAAAAATAAAAATCTGCATTACTGTTAAAGGTCATGAGCTAGAAGAAGAGCATATATGTTGTCCTCTTACTCCAGGGAATATTACTGCAACTAAGATAAATTCTTTGTGGACTTGAGAGAATTGACAGAAAGGCATCTTCCTTGCAAGGATAACAAGCTCAAAACTTATTAGAGCCATTTTTTCCCCTCCTGTAAAATTAAATGCCTTTTTAGTGTATGTAGTTCAACCTAACTTTATAAATTAATATGAGCTAAGTGACAAATGTTATATATCAGTCTGAAACAATCCTGAAACAACTTCCAGTTATACACATAAAATCCTAATGAAGTGCAATTCCCTCTGGAATGCAAAGCCACATTCAGATTGACAACTGCTACATTAAACACTGCCAAAAGTGAATACAAAGCAAATTTTAACCAAGGACAAAGGGGCATACCACTGCTGTAATATATATATTAAAAAAAAAAAAAAGCGCAAGAGGAGCTATAGCAGTATATTTCCATCTAGGCTCAAGATCAGCCTCTCTGTCTGCAAAGTCAATTTATGCCCACAGAATTCCTGCCAGCATTTTTCCAGCAACACTGTAAGCTGTGAGGGTACAACTGCATGGCTTATACTCCATTCAATTTACATTCAGTCTAATAAACAGGGGGAATCAAAACATACATGTTGTGTGACTTGATGAACCTGCAAAACAGGGACAATTACCTCTACGTATATAAAATGGTCAGGCAGGAATTTTGTTTTACATGGTCACTGAAAACACCCGAAGACTGTAAAATGTTCCAGTCATGGAATAGTCTAGTTTGTAGCACTGGAATCACACAGTTTGGTCTTGAGTAAATCATTCAACCTTTACAATTTAGCTTCTCTTTTCAAAGGATCTGAAATAATAATACATATCTACATAATTTCAAGGATATTGTGAGAATTAACTAATGCTGATGTGCCTTCCAAACATACAAAGCACTGTACGGAGAGAACAATTTAACAAGTTCTGCAGAATGAAGATTTGCAATAACCTTGCTGAATTTAGAACATATCATTTCACATAACAGTTTTTTGAAATGCGATGCCTATATCCAGCTGGACATTGTTATTCTTTCAGCTGAAAAATGTATTTTATAAGGTTTAATAATTTACCAGAAACTCCCACAACCTTTTCTCATATATCATGCTTAAACTGCTAAGAAGCACACTGAGGCCATGTAACCCGTGAAGTAGAATATTGAGAGGGAAGGTCAATTATTTCATTGAATGAAGTTGATAATACTCAGATACTGTGACGTTTTCTGTATTTACTTTGCTTGCTTCTTTGGATTTTACTGTATGTACTTTGGTTCCTGTTTGATTAGGAAAAAAACCCAAATATTTTGTTAAGGAGTATTAGATGATTAGAGAACCCTTCTAACCAGTTAAGTAGTCATTTAAGCAGAATATTTTACTTAATTATAATTAATTAGTAGAAACACAATCCTTAAAGCATACCTACATTCCAGTGAAAGGAAATGATCTTACCCTCTCACTTACTCAGCAACTCTTCTGAAATGGTATCATATATCATCTCCTATTCTTATGTCCACATCACCAGATCTAGCATGTGACCTTCTTCTTTCAGCCCACTGATACAAGGAGTCTTATAATTGCAAGACGAGATCCGCAAGGCCTGAATCTGTAGAAGCAGAGGGATGCCTTCGCAGAGTTGTAGAGTGCCCTTGTATCCTACAGCTCGGATTGGGGGAAGTCAGCAGATCTTTGCAGACATGGTTTCTTCACTCAAAATACCAACTTTTTTTTTTTTTTTTTCCCTCCTTTCAGCCTAACCCACACTACTCAGCTAGGATTTTACTTTCCTTTAAAAAGTGTTTCTGAATCTCACAGGAATATGCGCTAGTCCATAGACAGTACTGCAATTCTGCATGCAGGCCAAGGGTAAGGGGAAGAAAGTATCTTTGCCTTCAGCCTTGCTGAGCAAGACTGCTAAGTCAGAACAGGTTTTCATGAGAGACTGGCTGAAAGAGTATTTTAGGTCAACACTGCCTTGTCTCCCTGCAGGAGGGCTGCTGCTGTTACAACACATTCCCTGCTCAACTCTTCCATTAAACTGCAGAAGTTTGACATAATTTCCATGCTGTTCTGCACCCTCATGAAGCTTGGGAAAGTAGATAAACAGCTGCATTCAAGAGCGACAGCAACCAGAGGAACATCCTCCTGTACTGTCCTGTCCTGTCCTGTTCTTTTCCACTGCAGACTTTTGCTGGTCACCCCTTTCTGTGGAGTCTCTGAAACAGAACCTTCATTTTTCGTCCCTCTGCCCAAGTACTTATCACCCCCTCCTCCCTCAGCACTGCTCAAGTAAAAGGCTGCTTCCAAGCCTCTTGACAAAAACTTCTGCTATGCCCCTGACTGTCACTGCTCCTGTTTCCCTGTGATCCTTGTCAAAACAAGCATCTGCAGAACACTACCTCCCACCTTCCCACGTCTCTGCAAAAGTGCAGCCACATCATGTGTACTCTGAAATGGCAGCAAACGTTATTTTAGGGTTGACGGCTGCCTTCTTAGATTATAAAACACTTTGGGACTTAATTCAGCCTCTCAACAACTTATATCTCTCTTCTGACCTCCCTTGTTATTCCCACACACTCTTGTCACAAGTAGTCTCAAGACTCATTACCTTCTTTTACTTCCTCTTCTCTGAAATAGCTTCACCTCCGGAATTCTCCTTCTGAGGTCAAATCTCAGCTGAGAAGTTTTGTTTTAACCTTCTCTCTTCATTCCTTTTCTCTGTTTATCATCCTTAAGATTTATGAAAAGTTCCCTGAAAAACATTCTGTAAAGAAGCTTAGATTAAAAATACTATACATATAAAAACTTCTTTTAATTTCTCTTTTATTACTGTTTGTGGGGGAAAAGAAAAATCTACCCACATATTTTTAATGTGAAATAAGCAAACTATAACTTCAGCAACTTAAAGTTTATTTGCCATGGAAGTATTTTAACCACACTACCAAACCCTGCAGTATTTAACAAGCACAGAGCAGTAACAAATATAAAGAAAGCCATAGCAGCAGTTTGGTATACATGCGAGACAGTTGACACAGAAGCCTGGAGCAGTAGCTCTCTGAAAAATCACACATCAGCATTTCTTGTACTAAACTGTACTCTCTTTTGCATTTGGAGGAAAAAAAAAAAAAAAAAGCAAGCAGTTGTCATGGAATTTATTATATCCTTTTGGCAAAATATTATCCTCAAGACACCAATGAGCTCTAAGTCTTAGAAGGGAAAAGCTATAAACCTTAAACTAACAAGCTAACATTAGAGATTTGCCTGTGAAATGTTTTCTATGCACCGTTACCAGAGAACAATGTGAAAATAACTATTTCTTCCCAGTTCTCTTCAATTTAGCATGCAGTCACCGCTGTGCTATATTTCCTCTACCATCCCATTCTGAAACAATAAATCAGTGCAGAGTGAAAGGTGTCAAAAAAGTTTCCTGCTCCATCCATACACTGCAGTGATGCTCTGCAGCAGGGCAGCGTGTTGCCGGGGGATCACGCTGATTTGCTTCATGTTACAGTGAGGCAACATGAACCGTTTGAATAATCTCCAGGTAATCTGCATTAAAACCATTTTACTGCAGTGTACTGCGGTATTAGGAAAGATTTCAATATTGTACCACGTGATGCAACACACACAACCTTGTAGCATTTGTCAGTTCCTAGGCAGTGAGGGAAAGAAAGCTTTAAATGAAAGGCTGCAGCAGAGCAACTTTCCATTTTACAAAGTAAGATGACAGACTATTTTGGCTCACTATGTGGACATATAGTTATGAAATGACACAAAACTCACAGAGTAAAATCTTATAGACTTAAAAGCCAACATACTTTTTTTTTTTTCTTTCTTTACTTAGCTCCACAACCTGGTATCAAAAGAATCTTTCAGTGAAAGTGGATTTCCCTAACGTTAAGGGTACAGTAAAGTGTTACCAAGTTATAAGATCAATGACAAATGAATTTTAGTATTCTAGAGATCCTTTATCCTGTTCTTATTTATCTTACCACAGATAGGTTTTCCTCCCTGTCCTTCCAGCTTGAATATTTTGTAGTTTAATTTAAAATTGCACACATGCTTTTCTGTATAGCTTTATGGCAGTCATGCGAGGCAGTAACATTTCAGTGCAATTCCAATGTTTACAGAGAGATTTTAATTATTTCTATAAAGTTTCAGAAACGTTCCTCGGATTTATGTGTTCACATCAAAGATGCATGAAAAGAGTATGAATCTTGTCTCGAATTAGCCTAACTTTTTCCCCAGTAACACAGGCAAATCCAATATTGCAAAACAGTACCTGGATGTTTTCAGTGCGTGGTTTTTTGTGTGTTTAGTAGTATGAGGAGCTTAGAACCGCATTCTCAGAGGCCTCTGAGTGTTTGAAAGTACGGAGTATCATCAAAGTAACAACTACAGGGGCAGCAACAGCCACAGAGATGAACTCCTACTACCTGCATTAGCAACCTGCACATGCCGGGGTTTTTCTGCTCTGTGCGACGCGTCCGCTCCGGCGCGGCATCTGCGGCAGCACGTTGCAGTTGACTGCAGTGAGAGGGTCTGTACACCGGGTACCGCTCTGTACCGGCTCTGGCTGCAGCGAGCCCCTGCACCGGCCAACTTCGCCGCGGCTTTGACGGGGAAATGCCTCGGCGAGCGTGCGGGTCACACATCGCCCGGTACATAAGCACCCGGTACACGGTCGGCGCCTCAGTGCATGGCCCGGGCGGGAGCTGGTGCTGTATCCCGGTCCCTCCCGCAGTCAGCTGCCGCCTAAATCCCACCGTTAGAAACACGAGGCAGCGCCACAAGAGGACCCCGCTCACCTTGCCAGGATCTCTCACTGACATTTCCCAACCCCTTCCCCCTGCGACAGCTTTGCCACGAAGCCGGCCGCGGTGGGTGCCCCGTGTCCAGGGTCCGCCTGCCCGGGAAACG